TATATATATATATGTATGTATGTGTGTATGTGTGTGTGTGTATATACACAAGTATTTCTTCAACTTAACATAACTCCTAACACGTGCATTCTGTTACCGTAGTATGTTGTAGTGAGCAGCAAGAAGATTCTCTTCTACAACAACGAGCAAGACAAAGAGCATTCCATTCCCTACATGGTGCTCGATATAGAGTGAGTATAACACCTGAAGACAACCTGGGACTCGTGTGGTCTCCTGTAGGGGGGCATTTGTTGTTGAACTGAGGTGCAGATATTGCTGTGATAAGGGGACGTTGCTATTTTTCTTCACACAGCAAACTTTTCCACGTGAGGCCCGTCACTCAAACAGACGTGTACCGCGCAGACGCCAAAGAGATTCCCAGGATATTCCAGGTCTGTCTCAGCAGCTCTTCGATGGTTTTGTTATTGAAATTCTTAATTTGATCTCTGATGTCTTGAATATCCGGATAACCAACATGTGATTTCTGTTTGTTGAGTGTCAAAGCAAAGAAAAAAATCCTCATCCTCCCCGTTCTCTATCGACTGTCCAGATTCTTTATGCCAACGAAGGCGAGAGCAAAAAGGAGGCCGAGTTCCCCGTCGATGCCATCGGGGAGAAGTCCAGCTACATCTGCCACAAGGGCCACGAGTTCATCCCCACCATCTACCATTTCCCCGCCAACTGCGAGGCGTGCACCAAGCCGCTGTGGAACATGTTCAAGCCGCCGCCTGCCCTGGAGTGCCGTCGCTGTCACATCAAGTGCCACAAGGACCACATGGACAAGAAGGAGGAGATCATCGCTCCATGCAAAGGTGGGCCAGCTTCACATAGATCTATGGGCAACACGTCGGTGCTGCTTGCGGACATGAAAAAGAAATTGGAATTTTTCAGTAATACCAATTGAGCTAGTAAATATAACTCTTGCGCAATCTCTCTCCCGCCAACCAGTGAACTACGACGTGTCCTCGGCCAAGAACCTGCTGCTGCTGGCTGTGTCCCAGGAGGAGCAGCAGAAGTGGGTGAGCCGACTGGTCAAGAAGATTCCCAAGAAGCCTCTGCCTCCGGAGCAATTTGCGCGCTCCTCGCCACGCGCCTCCATGAAGGTCCAGCCCAGCCAGTCCATGAGGAGGCCCAGTCGACAGCTGCCCACCAGCAAGAGCAGGTAGCAAAGCAGATAAGAGCTCACGCCTGAAATAGCTTTAGCTTTTTAGACGAGCTTTAAAAAAAAAATGCCTTTGATGGTTTGTTGTGGTCCAGCTGGAGGTCTCACGTGAGGCAAAGAATAGGCTGTGGGTTTTAAGACGCACTATTGAGAAAGTAACCTTGTTAACCATCAGCATACAGGCTTGAGTTGAGACGGTATCATGGGTCACACTATAGCAATACCCACGTGTAACGATTTCCCTAGACTAGGCGTCCTTTAACTGGACTGTATCAAAACACTTACTGTTCCAATGGATCAACAGAAATGGAAGAAGAAATGCTAAAAGTTAAAGCTAGGGTTGGTAATCATGAGAAACTAGCAAGAGTGTGCTAGATGATAAAAAGGACCCATCCCGAAAAAACCCAACCCAGTGTTGCCATCTCGCTTCCAATTACAGTAGCAAGCAGCATTAGCAAAATCTAGCAAAAAAGCCGCCGAGTCACAACACAAAGACCGTCCCTTCAGGCCTCGCTCCAAAGCCAAATTATCATTATGAACAAAACGATGTCATAACCAACATGTTGGTACTCAACAGCTGTCGAGGGTGTACTCATGACTCCGACTCATGACTCCGGTGACGAGTCATGAGTGCACGGGCAGGGAGACAGGTAGCCCGTCCAATCATTACAGCCAGGCCGGATGAAATGATTGGTCGGGCTTAGTACAGTCCTTTTTGACAGAGCATTTGACTTAATGATTGCTGTTAACAGAAACATCAAAAATGTCTTTGAAGGTGATTACCAGCCCTGCCTTTAATGCAAGGGAATACAAATCCCACCGTATTGTACTTTAGCTTCCAGAATCTTTTGGCCTCAAAATTGTCAAATAAAAATATGGGCCACTGTTGGCTCCTGGCCAATCTCTGATGTCTCAGGATATCTCTTCTTTTTTTGGACACCAGGTATGCATGCGCAGTTGATTTTACCTGGCCTTCAAAACTAATCTCCCCTTTCAGATGGGAGGACTTTGGTCTTCAGGACTGGCACTGGGCCCTGGATGATATCGATGACGATTGTTCCTCTATTCATTTCTGATGACCACTTGCGGTAACACTGTGTGCTGTGCTGTGCAGTGCGTTGGTGGCAGTGGAAAGCTGTTCCTTTAACACAGCTGCTGCCTCAGTCTGCTGTGATTTAAAAGAGAATCAAACATTGGCTCCTGCTTATTCTTTTCTACCTTTTGGAAAAACATGAGACCCATAATTTAGTCTTCAGGGTGGAAGCCGAGCACAACAACTAGATGCGTCTAAGCCTTGTCTATACAAAGCAAGGTGCCGTTCTCTAGTCGCATCCTCCTGTTCACGTCCTCAATGGTGTCTCACCCATGGTGACCCCATGTCCTCTGACCTCAGCCCCCGCAGGTCAAACGGCTTCAAAACGAGGCAGGAAGAATCCCACAGTGGACACCGGTACAAATGACTTCTCCTCTTCCTCTGCCCTGACGTTTCCCTGGAATGTGTGTGTGTGTGTGTACGTGCACTTACAGCCAAACCGGTGTCTTTTTGCACTAAATGTTCAGACACAGTCCCCGGTTTGTGGTGGTGGTGGGGATGTTGATGCATGTGCTTGTCCGGGGGGGGGGGGGTCCTCGTCCTCGTCCTCGTCTTCGTCTGTTCACCTGATGCCACTGGGTGTTTTAAACCAAATGTCCTCTGGGTTGAAACTTGGTCACTTTTATGGTTTTTCATAATTCATTGAGTGGCCGAACAGGCAAAATGTCAGATTATATCACTTTTGTTTCTCATGTACTCGTGCAAGTGAAGTATATCTCATCTGTGTATTTAAGATTCCGTTAATTTATCATTGTTTGCAATAAATAAAGACTTGCGCTCTTAGAACATTGTATAATACAATGTTCCTTTTTAATGATAGTCTACAGAAGTAGAACAGTGTGTGGTCTAAATCTCTCCTGTTTCTATGACTTGAGAGGAACATGTTTTCTAGGATGATCTTTCTGAGTTACTCTTTTCGCCTCATTCATGTATGAAAAC